CCCCAGCCCCTGCTGCCTGTGTCCACAGCTCCAGGGCAGCAGATGTGGGAAGAGGCCCCAGGAGATGTCTGGGCAGGATGGATATGGGGAATGGTGGGGCAGGCCAGGAGGGCTGACATTTACGGAAGGCATCCCACCCCTCCTGAGGGATGGGGGAGTAGCCTCAGGGGCTGGACTGAGCTTCATGGAGGCCTCAGGCTGACCCGGCTGCTCTTCCAGAGCACTCTGGGGAAAGGACTGTGGGACTTTTGAAGGACTGCCAGGGTGTTCACCCTCCATGATGCCAACGCTCTGCAGGCAGGCTTTACAGAGTTCCACAGAGATGGGTTGGTCATAGCTGGTGCAGCTTGCGGAACAAGACAGAAAATGTGGGTCACCTTTATCATTCCAGACTCCCTGAAGCAAGAAGCCATGTCAAAACAGAAACCTCCAGATGGTTTCTGTCTGGCTGGATGGACGTGGGCTGGTCTCTGAGGTGCCACCACACCCTGAGAGGACCTGAGCAGGGAGAGCTGTCTGCACCTCTATGGCTGGGCGCCCATGGCGACAGGGCCACTCCTTGTGGGCATGGTGCTGGGCAGGGTCTGTGCATGCATTTGGGGTGGCAGGAGGAGGAGGAAGATTATTCATGGCAATACGTGCTCTTTTCTGGTGAACATGAGCTTTAGATCCTCTGACCAACATCTAGTTGAGAGTCTTGGAGTGACCTTGGCAGTGATCATCAAAGGAAGGCCTGAAGGGAAGAAATTACTTTGCTTTTCAAAATTATTTCAGATACCTTTTTCCATAAACGTGGATTTTCTTCATGAAAACTAGTTCACTATTTTTCAATAGTCTTTTTTGTGATGATTAATTAGCACATACTCAATACAAGACATTTAGAAAATCTATCACCCATTACTGAAAGAATGTGCTTGAAGTTTTTTAATTTGCACTTTCCTGACAAACCTCACTGACTTCTAGAAGGACTCAATGTTTAGAATGGACCATCTGCACGGGGGCTTGTTTTGCAGTGGTAGTTATTCCTAAAGGGGAAGAAACCTACCTAGTGTGGGTCTAGTCCTGTCACCTCAGATCACAGACCCTTTTGCCTCCATGTCTCTTCATGAGTTTTTTCTCATGGGTTGGTCTTTCTCACCTACTAAGGCTTAGAGTTTTCCACTGTCACTTCCAAGAGGGGAGAAGCAAGGACGGGAACACACACTGAGCCTGGTCAGGCTGCCCAAGACTTGCCAGGAAGGTTCTAGAAGCCTTTGCTGACTCAGGCTGAGTTCAAGCTGTGGGCTGTCGGGCCAAGAAGGCTCTGTTTCATGTCTGAGATTTGTAAGGACAACATCATATGCAACACCAGAAACCTCTAGTGCGGGTCTGCAGGTGGCCATGGAGGATGCAACCAGCCTCTGCACAGGCCCAAATCCAGACTGTTCAGTAGGGCAACATGGCTCGGTTGTGCGCATGGAGGTTGATCTGAGAAACTTCTGGGAGCTCCAGGACTCAGAACCAGGTACCTGCATTCAAACAGAGGTTTCCTCCAGCCTCAGCACGTGCCATTGGCAGTCCCTGTGAATATATGTGGTCAGCCCCAGGCACTGTGAGGGGGCAAGGGTCTGGGGCACTTTCTGACCCACCTCAGAGCAGCCCTTGGGTCTGACCCCCCCAATCAGTGAAGCGGTCGCACCAGCTGATCACCAAAGGCCTGGTCCCTGGTGCCCATGCCTAGGGGTGTGCCAGCCAAACTCAGAAATAAGATTGAAATCTAAATGCTGTTCCTTGGACATTAGCCTGGGAATCTGAGGCAGTCGGAGATGAAAGGAACCGTAGAGATCAGCAGCCCTGGACTCCAGTCAGGGCCCTGGCCCAGACAAATTCAAGCCCTCTGTCCCCCTAGTAAAATTTGGGCATAGTGTCCCTGTGCTGCCCAGCCAAAGGAGCTGAGGCAGAGGATGAAGAGGCCTCCACCCCTCGCTACCCTCTGTGGGTGAGAATTGCTGATACTGCCTCGTTAGGCTGGCTCACATGGGGCAGAGCCCCTTACATGAGCTCTGCTCCCCTCCATGGCCTGTGTCATTCTCTCTACCATACGGCTGGCTCAATTCCTCCACAAAAAACAGCTGACATGGGCCAGAGAAACCCACCTTTCTCCTAAGGGGCTGCTGTTTTTCTGGGTTCATTTTGGGATGGTAGGAATGTTTGAAACAAGGGAATCCTGGAAGCAGTTTTGTACTTAGAGAATCATTGGTTCATTTCCAGTTTGTGTTTCTCCTTCAGCTGATAATCAGGCAGCTCGCATTTCCAATTTCCTGTCCCTCCTTTGCTTCTCCTTACAGATCATAACATGGTGATGTCCCAGACTGGGTTCTTTCTGGCTCTTTGTTATAAAGTCTCTCTTTGCTCTGACCGAACAGCCATGCTAGGCATTGTGATCCCAATAACCCTCCTAGGTCATGGTCTCTGCCTGGAAGAATGTTCTGTCCTTCTCCATCTGCTTTTGGCCCCTCTCTTCTGCACCCAGCAAATTTGGTGCCAGGTCACTCTGGTGGAGAGAGGGAAGACTGGGGGAGCTTCCCTGCTGAGGTTTATAAGGGTGACAATGGCCTCTTCTGCTCTCAGCTTGCTCAGAAGTAGAAACAGAAACCCTTTGGACCCCTGTAAAGCACCCGAGCACACTGTCACGGTGCCCTGCTCCTCGCCATGCAGACGGGAGGGCTGGGCTGAGTGCCTGGTGAAGCAGCACGGTTTCTCTCAGCAGCTGCCACTGTGTCTTGACATTTTCCTGCCCCTGGTTCCTGACACTGAAGCCTACACAGCCTGAACTGCACCAGCCTTTCCATTATTCTTTGTAGACTATTTCAATATTCCCAGGGTCCTGCTGCGTGGGAACCAGGAGAAGGGCTGAGGAAGCAGAAGTGATGGTAGCTGAGGAGACCTCACAGCTGGGATGGAGGCGGGGGACACGGCCACGCATCCCACACCACCAGCCGTGCCATGTTCTCCTTCTCCTGGTCCTCTGGGAAGGGAAGAGATGAAACAGATTGAAGGGGGAGTACAGAGGACCAGTGGGCATGGTGGCCTCTGAGGTGTCCCTGATGCCCCCAGACTCCAGCTCTGCCTCTGTTGCTGCCCTCTTCTTTCCCCTGACCTCGCTCCTGGTGAGAGGCTCTGTTCTCACTCCTCGGGGAGAACTGAGTGCCTGGGGAGCAGAGCACCTCTGTCCCTCATTGGAGGAGTTCTCTACCATGCTGTGGTGGCCCAGATCTGTTTGGTAGAATTTTAACTGGTTTGCAACCTCGTCCTGAAATTAACCATTTGGAAGAAATATGGTAAAATGAAAAAACAGTTGCCACACTGCATTCCAGCCCCGCTGTGATCCCATTGCTGCAGGCTCATGTGGCTAGAAGGACTCTAGCATCTCCTTTTGCTTTGGAAGCTTATTTTTGCCAAGGTTGTTATCATCAAACAGGCGCCAGAGCTCCATTCCACTCACAGTCCAATTATGGCAAAACTCAAACAATGAACCTGTGTGTTCCACTGGTAAGAATGTCCGAAGGAAGTGCTGTTCCCTTTGCCAGGATCAAACTCTCAGGGCCCTTTGTGATATGTGAGACCTCAAGGCAGGTCTGTCCGTTCCCAGGCACAGAGCAATGGGAGCTGGAAGGTGGCTCGCTTAGCCCACCCTGGGCCGGGTCGGTGGATTTCTTTCCACTGCGCCACACGCATCACCCACAGATCTACCCTGTGGCTGGTCGGGGAAGCTGTCTCCCTTGGAGGCCAGAGGAACGGCATTTCCCGGCTAGGCGTGGGATTGGTGAGACTGTGATGCATTCCCAACCCTAAGGACTCACTAGGAAAGGGGTGGAGCTGATAGAAAGAGGAGAGATGTGGTCTGATGTGGAATACTCCCCTTGCCCATGACGGAGGTCCTCCATCTTCCTTCCTTCCTCCAAGTGGCCGTCCTCTCTGCTGTGACCACATCTCGGGGTTTGTGGGGCCTGGGCTGCTGTGTCCCTCTCTCCCCTGCTGGCCGCCCCTCACAGCACACAGGACAGCTCCTGGGAGGTGGCTGGAGGACAGTGGCCAGCGCTGTGATCATGGCACCCACAGAGAGGTGTCTGGATCTCCTTCCTTTTTCCAAGTGAAAGCATCTGGATAGCGGGTCTGAGAGGGCTCCTTAGGCACTGACATCCGTGAACTATGGGCCTAGATCAGATTTCTCAATCTGCCTTGACAGAAGCTGAGGTCACGGTCCCTCTAAAACAACCATAATGCCGCCTGACTGTTCCACAACTGCTTCTCTCCCTAACCCACAGGCCAGCGCCCCGGGCCAGGTCACGCCCCCAGCCTCTGTCAGCCTTTCAGAAATGCTAGGCATGGGGTCTTAATGAATGAAGCTTGTTCTAAAGCAGAAAATGATTTTATTTCAGCCTGCATTTAGCTTCCTATGTCTTTACCAGATCACCACTCAGAGTTGCTTCCCCTTCTTTCTTGCATCTCTTTTCAAGATCACAAAGGCAAGGAGTTAGAAAGTTCCTATCTTACAGAGTGGGCACTGGCGCCCGATGCCTGGGTTTAGTCCCTGCTTCTGTTGCTTACGAGCTTTGTGACTTTGGACAAGTTACTGAGCCTCTCTCTGTGTCAGTTTCCCTAGCTGGGCAGTGACATACCATCTCATAGAGCACCCATCTCATGTGGGGAGGAGTACATACGCCTTTCCTGTGCTTGCTACATCCATACAGATGTTATCAGTGGTGATGATGGTGTCATCCTGAAGAAGCAGAGAATGGTGGGAAGAACATGAGGCTTAGAGTCAGCTGGCTGACTCTAAGTCCCAGCTCTGCTACTTGCTCAGGGGGTTGATGATGCAAATTCTGAACCTCAGAATGTCTTAATTTTCATAGCTGTAAAACTGGGGTAAAAATTGTATCTCTCTCCAGCGAAATAGGTCTGGCAAAGTACTTCACCTGCAGCAACGGGGTTAAACCTGTTCTCTTTCCTCTTCCCAGGCACACATTCTGGCAGTTTCGCCATGAGAACCCCAAGACCCGGGTTGGGGGCCCTCCCCCTGAAGGGCTCCCTGGCTTCAACAGTGGAGTGATGCTTCTGAACCTGGAGGCCATGCGCCAGTCCCCGCTTTACAGCCGCCTGCTGGAGCCGGCGCAGGTGGAGCGGCTGGCTGACAAGTACCACTTCCGCGGCCACCTAGGGGACCAGGACTTCTTCACCATGATCGGCATGGAGCATCCCGAGCTCTTCCATGTGCTGGACTGCACCTGGAACCGGCAGCTTTGCACCTGGTGGAGGGACCATGGCTATAGTGATGTCTTTGAGGCCTACTTCCAGTGTGAGGGTCACGTCAGGATCTACCATGGGAACTGCAACACCCCTATCCCGGAGGTCTAGGCACATCCTCACCTGCCAGGCCTAGGGTCTCCGGATCTGAGAAAAGGAAAGTGGCACCTCTGGGACAGGCCCAGGTGGTGTCTGGGCCCCTAGAGAGACACTGTGGGGATGTCCTTTGTAATCAGCTCTCCCACCCTGTGGGTCACCTCCTGAGGCGCCTAGTGAGGATTGGCCTGCACACTGCTGGTGCTCGGGGCCTCTTCCCTCCAGGAAACCAGGCCTCGTGAGGGGCAGGCATCTTCCCATGGGCTAGGAAGCAAGTTTGAAGAGAAGGAAGGGAAGAAAACTCTGCCCCTTGCCTTCAGACCCCAGAGAATGGAAATCATCTTATGAGCCAGCCTTTCTTGGACCAAATATAAATTTATTTTAAATTCACAGGCTTCAATTTTGCAAGAAAACAAGAAGTCCTTCTATAGCTCTGTGTGAGCCAGGGTTTTAACAGCTAGCCCAGAGCTTAAACACCCAAACGAATGTGAGCCTTCCACCTGCACACCCCACAAGGCTCTGCGCTCATTCCTACGGTGCCTACATTGTGTGGATATAAAGGCCACCACTTCTCTGGAGAAGGTCTTTAGGGCCAGCAGTGGCCCACATGACACATTATTTTAGCCTTTATAGTTTTTATCTCCCAACAGCATCACAGAACCTCATCCAAGCCAGCTTCAGGTGACTAGACTGTGCTCAGAAATCTAATCTGCCATGAAAGAACAGAGATTGGCTGCCTCCAAGACAGGCAGTAGAGTTGTCTGGACTAGGAAGACTCATTGCAAAGAGGAACCCAACAGTTCACGAGTGTCACCATGTGGCTTAGAATGGGTGTTGCCCTTAGACTTATAAACAGTCCAGTCTCTTTGTTTAAAAAAATCTTCCTGTGAGTTTCTTACTGCATCATGTCAGAGTCTATAGCTCAGAAGAAATTAGGGTATCATTTCTTTATTTCTTCTTTTAATGAGTTCTCCTGTGAGTAAGCTGCAAACATGAAGTGGTCATTTTGCATAGTCCAGATGAAATCCCTGAGGAACAATTGGATTTTTGTCTTATTTTATTTCAATTTCATTTGCTGTTTTATTTCTTTTTAGCAGGAGTGAGAATAGCTACTAAATACTCTTTGAGAACACAATGATTTACGTTGTTTGTTCTCTGATCAGTTTTCCTTCACTATGAAAATTCTGAATCAAGAATGTAATCGATGTTGTTCAGAGTCCCCCCTCCACATGATTAGGCTAAGGCATGGGCACAGTGGGTCTCTGAGAACTAAGGGGGAACATGCCTGAAGGGGCAGTGCGGAGGGTAGTAGTGTTATATTCAAGTCAAATAGAGAATTATTTCTTTCTAGGTATTGGCAGGCCCCTCTTCTCCCAGGAGCTAAACCTACCCCGTCACTTCCGGTCCTCCTTACGCCAAACTGTCTGCGCCTGTCATCCCCTGACGAAATGGAGCACATTTGTCTCTTCTGAGCTCTAACAGAATGGGCCTGTTCTCTTAGGTACTTGATTTCCTATTTATAGTTACCAATTATTGGATGCCTGCTGTGTGCCAAGCATTGTATTAGGGGATTTATATACACTATTGATAATGCTCATGGAAACTTCATGAAGATAATTCAAATCCTAAAATTTATTATAATAATGAGAGATGTGAACAGAGAGTCATTATTTATCATAGCATTTTTTATAATAGAAAAAAATTAGGAGTGACTTAAAATGTTGAGGGGAGTGGAAAAATGTTACATCCATTTAGAATAATGGAATAATTTAGGCATTAAAATAATAGTTTTAAAGAATATTTAATGCCTTGGGAAATGCTTACAATGTGCTATTAAATAAAGATTGCAAAATATAAGATTGTATGTACAGTACGATCCTAATTTCACTTTTTAAATTACATATATATGTGTATATGCACATCAGTAAAAAGAGAGCCTGTTCTGCTACATTTCATTACTTCAGCTCCTAAAAAACCATGTGTTTCAAACACTTCATTAAAAAAAAAAACACACACAATCATTTCGATGGAGAAGAGTAGATAAAATGCTGGAGAATTTTAGACTCACAATAACAAAGGTATTTTTTCCTGCATTAATTTCAATAATTAAAGTAGTTCTATAGCTATGAGCATCTCTTTATTGCAAGGAAAAAACATAAACTGGTTGATCAAAATGGGCAAAAGCCAAACCTTGCTCACTTTTGAAATCCCCACTCAGGAGCACCCCCCCCCGCACCCCTCCTCGTTCTGTCATCAGTATCCTTGGCCTTACAGCTCCCTGGTGAACATCAACATGATACAAAACAGGAAATCCAGCCAGACCCGCATGGCACCGTGTGCTCCTGCGCTTCACCACAAGCGGCTGTCTGACAAATTTTGGAGGCTGATTCTTGATGGGAATCCTGCTTTCACCAAAGCAATACATACATAATTGTGTTGTGTTTAACTTTCCTTTTGAAGACTTTCCTAAAGCACATGCCTGTAGGAATGAATAGAGCAGAAGTCTAAAAAGAGAACATTTCTGGGTACTAAGATTAAGGTGCTTTTTATCTTCATCTACATTAATTTTATATTTTCCATTGTAAATACAAATGAGTTTTGTAGTAAAGATAATAAATGCCATGAAATGTAGCCACCAGCCTTCCCTCCTGTTGTAAGCAAGCATCAGCGTGGCCACTTTACAGCTCACTGTCGGTTATATTTACTGTCTGTCTCCCATAGGAAAACATACTCTTGGCCAAGTAGGCTCTGGATTTTCAGCTTTCCCTGTGGATGCCCTAGTTCTCTAATTAAAAGTGACCTAATAATAGCCTCTCCAGACTGCATTCATTTCTGATTCCATTATCTTTTTGAGTACACAAATGGTAATGGCCTTTGGAAGGCTCGCAGGCTTGTTGAAGAGATTTATTCTTGCAAGTGTGTCAGAACCACACTACAGCACCCCTGTGAGTAGCATCTCTTCAAGCCAAAGAGGCGTGCTGGCTCAGTGGGCCCCCTTCCCAGAGCACACCCTGAGTTTGTGGGGTAAGGCAGCAAGTGCATCTGTGACTTGGCACCTGCTTGGGGTAAAGGCTGACCCCTGCTCCTTCTAAAACTTCCTGGGTGATGTCAACATGGAAGGCCAGGAGTAGCGCTGATTGTGAAATTTGGCAGGGTGAGCAAAAATTTCTGAGCAAGCAGGGTGGTCTATATAGAGCAGCCCGCAAGTAAGTCAGAGGCCAGGCTTTGAATCCACCTTCTGCCCTCACATGCACAGCCTTGGGCAAGCAAGATCACCTCTTTCCCTCTTTGTAGGCACAGGTATTGAGATCTCCCTCAAGGAGTGCTGTAGGAAGAAAAGGAAGGCTTAAGGGCTTGGTAAGCTGAGAATACACAGCAAAGAAATCCTACAGTTAGTACTTACATTATTCTTTTTAAATCAATGGCTTAGAATGGGTGTTGCCCTTAGACTTATAAACAGTCCAGTCTCTTTGTTTAAAAAAATCTTCCTGTGAGTTTCTTACTGCATCATGTCAGAGTCTATAGCTCAGAAGAAATTAGGGTATCATTTCTTTATTTCTTCTTTTAATGAGTTCTCCTGTGAGTAAGCTGCAAACATGAAGTGGTCATTTTGCATAGTCCAGATGAAATCCCTGAGGAACAATTGGATTTTTGTCTTATTTTATTTCAATTTCATTTGCTGTTTTATTTCTTTTTAGCAGGAGTGAGAATAGCTACTAAATACTCTTTGAGAACACAATGATTTACGTTGTTTGTTCTCTGATCAGTTTTCCTTCACTATGAAAATTCTGAATCAAGAATGTAATCGATGTTGTTCAGAGTCCCCCCTCCACATGATTAGGCTAAGGCATGGGCACAGTGGGTCTCTGAGAACTAAGGGGGAACATGCCTGAAGGGGCAGTGCGGAGGGTAGTAGTGTTATATTCAAGTCAAATAGAGAATTATTTCTTTCTAGGTATTGGCAGGCCCCTCTTCTCCCAGGAGCTAAACCTACCCCGTCACTTCCGGTCCTCCTTACGCCAAACTGTCTGCGCCTGTCATCCCCTGACGAAATGGAGCACATTTGTCTCTTCTGAGCTCTAACAGAATGGGCCTGTTCTCTTAGGTACTTGATTTCCTATTTATAGTTACCAATTATTGGATGCCTGCTGTGTGCCAAGCATTGTATTAGGGGATTTATATACACTATTGATAATGCTCATGGAAACTTCATGAAGATAATTCAAATCCTAAAATTTATTATAATAATGAGAGATGTGAACAGAGAGTCATTATTTATCATAGCATTTTTTATAATAGAAAAAAATTAGGAGTGACTTAAAATGTTGAGGGGAGTGGAAAAATGTTACATCCATTTAGAATAATGGAATAATTTAGGCATTAAAATAATAGTTTTAAAGAATATTTAATGCCTTGGGAAATGCTTACAATGTGCTATTAAATAAAGATTGCAAAATATAAGATTGTATGTACAGTACGATCCTAATTTCACTTTTTAAATTACATATATATGTGTATATGCACATCAGTAAAAAGAGAGCCTGTTCTGCTACATTTCATTACTTCAGCTCCTAAAAAACCATGTGTTTCAAACACTTCATTAAAAAAAAAAACACACACAATCATTTCGATGGAGAAGAGTAGATAAAATGCTGGAGAATTTTAGACTCACAATAACAAAGGTATTTTTTCCTGCATTAATTTCAATAATTAAAGTAGTTCTATAGCTATGAGCATCTCTTTATTGCAAGGAAAAAACATAAACTGGTTGATCAAAATGGGCAAAAGCCAAACCTTGCTCACTTTTGAAATCCCCACTCAGGAGCACCCCCCCCCGCACCCCTCCTCGTTCTGTCATCAGTATCCTTGGCCTTACAGCTCCCTGGTGAACATCAACATGATACAAAACAGGAAATCCAGCCAGACCCGCATGGCACCGTGTGCTCCTGCGCTTCACCACAAGCGGCTGTCTGACAAATTTTGGAGGCTGATTCTTGATGGGAATCCTGCTTTCACCAAAGCAATACATACATAATTGTGTTGTGTTTAACTTTCCTTTTGAAGACTTTCCTAAAGCACATGCCTGTAGGAATGAATAGAGCAGAAGTCTAAAAAGAGAACATTTCTGGGTACTAAGATTAAGGTGCTTTTTATCTTCATCTACATTAATTTTATATTTTCCATTGTAAATACAAATGAGTTTTGTAGTAAAGATAATAAATGCCATGAAATGTAGCCACCAGCCTTCCCTCCTGTTGTAAGCAAGCATCAGCGTGGCCACTTTACAGCTCACTGTCGGTTATATTTACTGTCTGTCTCCCATAGGAAAACATACTCTTGGCCAAGTAGGCTCTGGATTTTCAGCTTTCCCTGTGGATGCCCTAGTTCTCTAATTAAAAGTGACCTAATAATAGCCTCTCCAGACTGCATTCATTTCTGATTCCATTATCTTTTTGAGTACACAAATGGTAATGGCCTTTGGAAGGCTCGCAGGCTTGTTGAAGAGATTTATTCTTGCAAGTGTGTCAGAACCACACTACAGCACCCCTGTGAGTAGCATCTCTTCAAGCCAAAGAGGCGTGCTGGCTCAGTGGGCCCCCTTCCCAGAGCACACCCTGAGTTTGTGGGGTAAGGCAGCAAGTGCATCTGTGACTTGGCACCTGCTTGGGGTAAAGGCTGACCCCTGCTCCTTCTAAAACTTCCTGGGTGATGTCAACATGGAAGGCCAGGAGTAGCGCTGATTGTGAAGTTTGGCAGGGTGAGCAAAAATTTCTGAGCAAGCAGGGTGGTCTATATAGAGCAGCCCGCAAGTAAGTCAGAGGCCAGGCTTTGAATCCACCTTCTGCCCTCACATGCACAGCCTTGGGCAAGCAAGATCACCTCTTTCCCTCTTTGTAGGCACAGGTATTGAGATCTCCCTCAAGGAGTGCTGTAGGAAGAAAAGGAAGGCTTAAGGGCTTGGTAAGCTGAGAATACACAGCAAAGAAATCCTACAGTTAGTACTTACATTATTCTTTTTAAATCATAAATGGCAGCCATTTGGGGCACATTAAATGTGTTGGTGGCATCTGCCTAAGCCCAGTGGAGGACCAGATGCTTGCTGTAGTCTGTCCAATTTTTTGTTAGCCCCACCACTCTGCGGAGGCCTGGGTATGGCCAGGGGTCTGGGGATCCTTGGATAACCCCTTCCCTCTCTGGGTTCAGTTTCTTCTTTTTTAAAAAACAAGGGGGTAAGAGGTTTGGACTAGATCTCCAATCACTTCCCTGGCTCCTGACCATGTTTGGAATAACAGCCTGCTGCAGCCCTGATCCTCTGGCCCCACACCCAAGCTGTCCTAGGGGAGAGGCTTGCGTTCCTCCATGGGTGTCCTGCCCACTCTCAGGAAGTACCCTTAGCCAAACCTCAAGCTACCCTCGACCGCTGCCCTCATCCAGCCTGGGCCCGACCCTTCCCAGAGCACAGGACACCTTTACACCCAGCGTGAAGCTGGGAGCTGAGTTCGTGCCAGGTGTGCGCAGAGTGTCGGCATTGTAGGGCATGCTGTCAGGGACGTAGGTAATCCGCTTCTGTTTAAGCACCGGTTGGAGTCATAAGGTGGCAGGAATGTCGATATTCTTAAAAGGCAAAGTGACACCTGCTTTGGAAAATGTAAGCCCTTGTTGACAGTCATGGGCAGGCCACTTCGTGGTCAACTTGAATCCATCTCAGCTTGTCCTACGTTTCAGGAAAACTAACCTTATCTCTAATCCAGGAAGCCATAGCAACCATCCCCTCTTGTCATCCCTCTGGTGCTTCTGTGGCCTCTCCCCTCCTGCTTGCCTTCTGTGGCCCAGCCTTCTTCCCCAGGGGCCCCCAGGAACCCCCTGCCACCCTACATACTTTGAATTCCCTGCTGGGGGCTCCTACCATCTCAGCCCACATCCAAACCACTGTGTGCTCTGATCCCACACCACTCCCCACCTTTCCCCACTGGGCCTCTGCTGCCCCAGGGGAAGCAGACCCTGAGATGGAGGTTTATGTGCACAAAGCTTCCTAGAAAGCATTCGGGGCCGGTTGGGGGCCGCTAGGGGACAGTGACAGGAGGGGGCAGGGAGAAGGCGAGCTGTCAAGCAGTCATGACAAAAACCTCAGCCAGTCCCATATGGAGCTCCCGAGCTGTGGCAGCCTTGCAGTAAAGCCCTGGTTGGAGCCTGGAGGGAGGCCTTCAACCCTCTCCTGTCTAGTCACAGCACACACTGCCCCTGGGGAAGAGCCCCCTTGGGCAAGGGGGCTCCCTTCAGTCAGGTAGAGCCTGGGTAGGGCCCTTTACTCTGAGCCATCAGCAGCCCACACTCCCCAGGGCATGAGGCCCCATTTTGGAGGGGGATCTGAGCAGCACACCAGGGTGTGTGCAGCTGCCCACAGCCCTCCTCTGGCATCTTCCTCCTCAGCTTTCTTCTGAACTACTCTTTGCTCTTTTTCTATAAGTTCTTCAACTCAGGGCATTACCTGCTTCAGCTCTGCATGCGTTCAGGTTTCCTGGTACTCTCCCTGAGCCCAGGCCAGGCTCCCTGTGCTAGCTGCTACCTCTCTGGGGTGGCGCTGCCTCGCTGCTGCAGTCCAGCTTGCACCATGGTGCCAGGTCAGTTGCAGCAGCAACACCAAGGAAGGTCACCTGCCCTCTGTAGGAGCAAAGTCCTGTCTTCTGTCCTTCTCCCTCTGTCATGGATCCCTGCAGGAGCCCAGTGGCCCACTTGCCTCTGTGCTTTCCAAGAGCTGCTCATGGCTCAGGACACTGACAGGCTATGGGCCTGCCATTCGGCA